TACCCAAATTCTCATTGCCATAACAGGAAGTTACAAGAATCTAAAGTAAAAACACAGAAACATCAAGAAATGCCTGTATATAATTTAGAAAAGTGAAACGTATGCTAAAAGCAGCTCAGAGTTAGAAGTACAAACCTCAGTGGAACAGCAGGGAAGTTTAAAGAGGAGGACTGGCAACTGCTTATTATAACTCCTGTAAGATTATTTGAATTTTTATTATGTGTATGTTACTTTGTTAAAAACCTAAAATAACTAGGCCTAAGACGTTCACTTTTATTGTTCTACTCTCCTCCTCCTCAAAAGATAAAAGCTTATTAAATAATTTAGTGTTAAAAAAATTCTCTAATTTAGGGCCAGCCCGGTGGCGTACTGCTGCAGTGCGCCGCTTGGGAATGCAGCGGCGCTCCCGCCGAGGGTTCAGATCCCACATACAGACCGGTTCCCGCTCACTGGCTGGGTGCAGTGCGGGCGCAGCGCCGAGGGTTGCGATCCCGTTGCCGGTCCCGGTCCGGTACGGGCGCGACACTGAGGGTTGCGATCTGTTGCTGGACACGAAAAAAGACAAAAAAAAAAAAATTCTCTAATTTAAAAAAAGCCACAATCATCAAAGTAGTAAAGCATGCACTAAGCCTAACAATAATATCTAATAGGGCTTCTCAAATTAATCATCATTTTAAAACTGTTTAAAAAATAAATGTTAGATGTTAGAATAGAGCTAAATAGGCTTATAGTGCAACAAATACATTTTAAGAAGTCATTGCCTAGGGCCGGCCTGTGGCTCACTCGGGAGAGTGCGGTGCTGATAACACCAAGGCCATGGGTTCGGATCCCACATAGGGATGGCCAGTTCGCTCACTGGCTGAGTGTGGTGCTGACAACACCAAGTCAAGGGTTAAGATCCCCTTACCGGTCATCTTTAAAAAAAAAAAAAAAGAAGTCATTGCCTACACCTCTCACCCCAGGCTAGGAAATGTGTATTTTACGTTTTCTGATAGTGAACTCTCTATATTGCAGCTGTTACCTGTGTCAGGGTATACCACTGTATTAGTCTGTTTCTGTTGCTTATAACAAAATACTTGAACTGGGTAATTTGCAAAGAAGAAAAACAAAATTTATTGCTTAAGTTTCGGAGGCTGGGAAGTCCAAAGTCCAGGGAACACATCTGATGAGGGTCTTGGTGGTGATGAGTGACTCAGGGGTCTCACATGGCAGAAAATGGCAGAGCAAAGAGAAATAGTTCCTCATTCACTTTCCTTTTAGAGCCCTCAGAACCATGTCCATGACCACCATTTTTATTTCATTCACTAGGTGTTGTCATGTATTTTCAAGGCCCCATCTTTCAATTACCATAATAGGATTTCCCACCCTTAACAGTTACAATGGGGATTTAAGCTTCAGTGAGTTTTTGTGTGTGGGTGTGGGGGGGGGAGGGGATCCAATCTGCAGCAACCACATTCCAAATTAAATTGGTATAATAAAGTGATGGCTTCAAGTACTGTGCTCAATTTCTTGGTGCATTTAACACAGAAATTCTGGTTAGACTCTTATTACTCCAAACAGATAAGCATTAGAATTTCAAGCCAAGTTGTATTGTAGGTGTTCAAACAGATTGTACTTATGACCCACAAGTGTTTAAGAAGCCTTACTAATTTGGAGCTTTGTACTCAAAATGATGCCATGGCAGAATTAAAAGGCTTAAAACATTAAGCAAATGTTAAAGAATAAAAAAAATCCTTAAAAAATACAAGAATGCTCTCTAAAAGCCTTTTAGATTTCTATATAGTTGTGATGTCAAAGAAAAAAGTCATATCAGACATTTAAACATTTATTCTTCTATGGTTTTTTTTTTTTCTTTTTTTTAATGGCTGGCTGGTATAGAGATCCAAACCCTTAACCTTGGTGTTCTAACACTGCACTCTAACCAACTGAGCCCTCTTTTATGTTATTCTTATCAAAAGGAAGAATGGAAGTTTAGGAAAGGGAAAAATGGACATTAAAAAGTTTATTTCTAGCCCTGAAAGAACAAAATTATTGAACAAAGTCACCCAATACAGCAGTTAATGTCAATGTAACAATTAAATTATTGAATGGGATTAAATTAGAAATAAAAGGCAATATAAAATTCAAAGACAAGACAGAAAAGACAAGCTACTTTCACTAAATTCTATTTCTATCTACCAAAACAAGGGGGGAAAAAAAGCCAACATATTCCAACCAAAGATGTTGAGTTCCAAATGTAATTGTTTTTCTTAATATAGAATGAAAATTTGACAGATCATACATTTCTTTCTGCTTCTTGTCTTGTCAACATCCTAGAATGATGAATGAGAAAGACTTCAGTTCTTTCAAAGGCAGGCCAGTGCTTGATTCTTCCTTGTAACTCCAACATCTACCATCTTTGCCAGAGTGTTCAATAAATGTGTTGAGAAAAAAATGTGTATGTATAGATATATATTATATATGCACACTGCGGAAAAATTAATTTTAACTGTTTAAATACCTATTGTGGGAGCAGTGGAGACAAGACAATCTGCTTTTTATATTACTATAAAATTCCACTTCAAAAACCCCCACATGAATATTAATCAGGATGTTAGCTATAATTTTTACATTTCACTGGATATGGATTCTCAGTATATTTTTTAAAAATTAGATTGAAAAATTGATGCAGATTCTTTTAACAACCTATTTTTCTAAATATAGTTATTGTTTGATCATATCAAATAATTCTGGCTAAAATACAATATATACAAACAAACATGTATTTAAGCGAACCCTACAAAGAAATACTCATAGGTAGTTTAAAATTGCTTGTTAAAGGCACAGGTTCATTTAGGACTGGTGGTTACTAGGTCAACTTTAAGCAGCTTAACATTTATATGCTGAAGGGAAGAGAATTCATGCCAGGCACTCAACACATGAAGACAGAGTTGTGTTAGCCATGGTGTCTTATGCTGCACAATCATCACTCTACTTGTTTACTACTTTAGGTGGAACAAAATGCTCAGTGTTTTCATGGCTTCCCAGTTTTAACTGTCCCTAAAACCACCAAAAGGAACAGGAACAGAGGATCACTTTAAGACCACACGAGTCTAAAATATAATAAATGTTATAGTAATATTATTCTATAAACACAAGAGGACTACTAAGGTAACTTTTAGATTTAAACGGGAATTTTCACTTTATGTTTGTTGTTGTTTGTGTTTTTAGTTTGTTTTGGTGGCTGGCCAGTATCAGGAACTTTTGACCTTGGCGTTATTAGCACCACATTCTACCAAGTATGCTAACTGGCCAGCCCTCATTCTAGAGTGATAACAAAAAGGGTGACTACAAAAAGCAATTATTAAAAACCCATGAATCTTGATTAAGATATAATTGTTCTTTCCACAAGATTTGAACATTTTAATTTAAAATTAACTAATAAATCACAATTCTGCATTGCTTTTAAGATTATTTTGTTTAAAAATGACACATTTCAGAATTAACCAAAGTATATTTCTATTACAGGTTAGTTTATCCAGGTAAGTAAAGAATAATCCACAGTGTAGTTCACTTAACCTAAGAGCCAGGTTTTAACGTCAAAGTCCGTTGCCAGCAATGGACATGCGGGTAATCATCAAAGAAGTCGTAAATATAAATCTCAAACTGCTTCTATTAACTGAAAAGCCTTTTGCTGAGTCAACAAGCATAAAATGGGATGTTGGCACGTATTCAATGAATAAGATCTTTATGACAGGATGGAGTGCCTTCTCGAGTGGTCGTGATGATCATAGTCTTATCATGTAGTTGGTTTTCTATTTCATTGGTAGCATCTTCTTTATAATCCATCCAGACAACTGTTTACAAGAATGCTCAAATCTGGAACTTAAGAGGCACTGTAGCTTTCCATCAGAAATAAACCAGCTTGTTTCCATAATTTAGTAATAGATGTAGAATGCCAGTGTAGTCCAGAGAAAAATGAAATCAAGAATCATATTGAAAAAGAGAACATTAAGTGCTCTAGATACGTTTCATTAATTATTTTACTAATTTTTATAAAAAACCTTCCTATGTTATCAATAAAAAACAGCCATTTCTATCCTTATACCTGTATCTTAACACAGATATAATGAAAATAATAGGAAATAAAACCCTGCTAGTTTCCCCAATGTATTCCCAAACAGCAAAATTATTTTTATTCATGATTTGTACTACTGCAGGATGGCAAGCAGATGTGACGTTAATTGGGAGGAAATGGTGGGAACAAAATGCCAAAACCAAACCACAGGTTTTTCTCTTTTATGTGGTTCCAGACATATCAGAAGCAACAATACTTCCTCCAAAAGTAAAACTACAAAATAATAAGGAGAGAAGTAGAAGACAGAAAAGAGAAGGAAAGGGGAGATGAAAGGGTACTATAACAATTAATGCTACAGGTCACAGACCTCTTCTCTTTTTAATCTTTAAAATTAAAAAAGTATTGCTATCAACAAACATTTTATTTTTCTTCCTTCCTCCAGTTGTTTACATGAAAATTCTCTACTTATTTTTTAAAAAACCACTAAAGTAATTCAACATCTCAAATGATCCATGAATTCATCAAGTACTTTGTCATTTGAGTTCTTAGTAAAACATTGGCAATGGATTGGAAACAATGTAACATGATGTTACAAGCTGCATCTCTATTTTAGAGCTCAGTAAGGTTCATGTCTCTCACTGTCTCTGCTAGCTCCAAATATTTTTCTCCTTTAAATGGAAATAAAAGTTAACTTTTAAATTCTGACAATTCAATGGTTAAATTATTTGCTGGGGGGGGGGGGGGGGGGGGGGGGGGTGGATGGGGATTTTGGGGAGGAAGAAAACACTTTGAAAAAAATCAAAAAAAAAAAAAAAAATTAATTTTTTAATTTTGAAAAATTATTGTTTTATTTTTTTTGGGGGGGGGGGGGGGAGTGGTGATGGTGTTATGTGTGAGGTAAGAGAGTCAATTAAAAAGCAAAACAAAAAAACAAACCTAAACCTAATTGCAACATATACAGAAATTTATTTCCAAAATGGAGGGGGAAAAGGGGAGAGGAGAAGGTAGTGGCATTAACCAGAGTCATAAAGCCCAAGGTGGAACAAGAACAAATCACTTTGGTTCCTGAAACCAAATCTGAAGAGGAAACAGGCAGAAAGAAAGACAAAATTGTAAGAATGTAGAGTCAATGGGATTCTTTTTCTGTCTCAATGATTTAGTTATAAATATAGATTATTAGTCCTCTCTCTATACATGTAACAAATGCCAAATTTGCTACCATGAAATTTCTAAAATTGACTCTTTCACATTTGTTAAAAAGGTAAAAATCACATACTTTTTTTTCTTCCTTTCCTTCAGTTCAAATTCTGAACTGAAACATTAGCTGGTCCTCACCTCTGTACAAAGTTAAACCATATGGAACTCCTTTGCCAATATAAGGAGCTACAAAATTTCTATCACATTATAGCCTTGAACTTAGGCATGAGAAAAATTTCTCAAAGTGACTCAAAAGAAGTCAAGGAATAGGAGAGCTATGAAGGAGAGAGAAAAGAAGACTAGTAGATGAAACATATATTCTGAAAAACTCCAATCTGCCACTCAAGTATTGAAAAGTACCCCAAAAGGGACAATGAATGGGATCTATTACAATAAAGTCGGCAAAAAAAAAAATGCAAATCTCAAGCATGATAAATGGCCCTGACGGGCTGTCTGCTGAAAGACATAAGGCTAGTGATTCAGTCCACAATCCCTCTTGGACCCTAAAGAAGGGGTTCATATTTGAAAGTCATAATTCTTTTTGCCATTTACTCTTGGTTGTCTTCAAAGAACAGTAGTTTGCTTTTTTCTTCCATGTTATGCAGACCATCTCTCTAAACCCCAAAAAGAGTAATAATTTTCATATATTAAAATACTTCTTTTAGAAAATGGAAAACATATGAGGCCATGGTAATGATGTTAACGATTACTCTTCATTGCTTCTTTAGCTGCCATGATCAGTGGTGTCAAGCTAGATAATGGTTTGGCCAGTTTCAGGAAGGGATGCTGCCAGAAAGAATAGGAAAAATAAATGTATAAATGGTATTCATCAATTTAGAAACAGAATATTTTCTTTCTATTAAGCCCCCAAAACTACATTATAAATTAAAATTTATTTAATAAGCCAAACACATATTTCAATACCTACATAAAACAACATAATCAATATATCACTTTTACAGTTAAAAGCAGAGTTGTTTTATTCTCTTTTTCCTTTGGCAGCTGGCTGGTAATGGGGATCCAAACCCTTGATCTTGATGTTATAATACTGCACTCTAACCAAGTGAGCTACCTGGCTAGTCTAAGTTTATTCTAACATCATAAAATCTACAGTTATAGGACTCACAGATACACCCATGAAAGCAACAAACAGATCTAAGAATTGATAATATGCAGAAACTTATAATGCTACTATCAGAATTTTATTCCTAGCAGATAAAACCCTAAAATGCAACAGCTATCATACTGCTGGTAATTGATAGTGAAATATAATTATTAACCCTATGAAAACTTCCTGCTGGTTACTTAAAGAGTAAACTTTTTCCAAAAATGGCATCATTTCCAAATTTACCTGTAACAATTCTTTGGCTGAACCTCTTTTCTCCACATCCATTTCCAAACATCGATTTAAGAAATCCCGAAATATTGGGGAAAGTTTCTCTGGATTCTGAAGTTCTGGAGTTCCATTAGTTGCTATCAGGTACAAAGCCTAAAAACAGAAGAACATCTTGATATACCTAAGGTAGCTCAAGGAAGTGATAGAGCACTTTGTAAAGTTTATGGACGTCTTACTTCTTTAAAGACAATCACTATAAATACTAAAGTGATGTCGTTATGATCTCTACCCATGTATTTTTATTTATTTATTTATTTTTGGGTGGCTGGCTGGTACGCAGATCTGAACTCTTGACGGTGTTATCATCACCATGCTCTCCCAAGTAAGCTAACTGGCCAGCCCCTCTACCCATTTAGATTTGATATTTTCCTTTTATTTTTAGATGTTACATTTCCCTAAGTTCTTTTTCAAAAATCAGCTTCATCATTTTTGTTGTTGTTGTATTATAAATACAATATATATTGCTTTAAAAAACCCAACTAAAATACATAAAGGTATAAAGAAAAATGACCACAATCTCACCACTGACATATATAATGTCCTGTTTACTGTTCTCAAGCTTTTTTTCAAGTCCCACATATCACATTTCAAAACAGCAGATTTGTTAGAAGTTATCTCAGACTCATCATTACTAATAACTGATTAGTTCTACAAAATCATATTATTTTATTTTGCAGCTGGCCAGTACAGGGATCAAAACCTTCACCTTGGTGTTGTAACACTACAGTCTAACCAAGTGAACTAACTGGCCAGCCCATGTAGCCTTTTTAGACTTTCACTAAGCAACATGAATTTAAAGTTCTTCCATGTCTTTTTGTGGTTTAATAGATCATTTCTTTTTATTGATAAATAACATTATATGGATGTACTATAGTCTATAATTCACTTTTTGAAGGACATCTTGATTGCTTCTATAGTTTTTTTTTTTTTGAAAGATGACCGGTAAGGGGATCTTAACCCTTGACTTGGTGTTGTCAGCACCACACTCAGCCAGTGAGCGACACGGCCATCCCTATATGGGATCTGAACCCGAGGGCTTGGTGTTATCAGCACCACACTCGCCCGAGTGAGCCGAACCCGGGGCCTTGGTGTTATCAGCACCACACTCTCCCGAGTGAGCCACTGGGCTGGCCCAGCTTCTATAGTTTTTTGCAAGTTGTATATCGGTTTCTCTGTGGACGTAAGTTTTCAACTCATTTGGATAAATACCTAGCAGCACGTCTGCTGGGTCATATGTTAAGATTAAGTTTAGTTTTGTAGGAAAGTGCCAAATTGTCTTCCAGAGTGGTGCATTCCCACTAGTAATGAATGAGAATTCCTGTTGCTCCATATCCTCACCTCACATTTAGCATTGACAGTTTTTTCAACATTAGCCATTCTAAAAAGTATATAATGGTATCTCATTGTTTAGTTTAGAAATTCCCTAATTACTTAATATTGAGATCTTTTCATATGCTTATTTGCCATCTGTCTATCTTCTCTGGTGAGTTGTCTGTTCAGATCTTTTGCCCATTTTTAACTGGGTTGTTTGTTTTCTTATTGTTGTGCTTTAAGAGCTCTTTTTTTTTTTTTTTTTAAAGATGACCGGTAAGGGGATCTTAACCCTTGACTTGGTGTTGTCAGCACCACGCTCAGCCAGTGAGCGAACTGGCCATCCCTATATGGGATCCGAACCCGGGGCCTTGGTGTTATCAGCACCGCACTCTCCCGAGTGAGCCACGGGCCGGCCCTTAAGAGCTCTTTTTATATTTTGTTTTATTTTTTTCCAAAAGATGACCAGTAAGGGGATCTTAACCCTTAACTAGGTGTTGTCAGCACCATGCTTGAGCAAACTGGCCATCCCTATATAGGGATCCGAACCCATGGCCTTGGTGTTATCAGCACCACACTCTCCCAAGTGAGCCACGGGCCGGCCCTTCTTTTCATATCTCGGATCTAAGTACCTTATGAGCTAAGTGTTTTGCAAATATTTTCTTGTAGTCTGTGACTTGTCTTCTCATTCTCTTAAATGTCTTTCACAAAATAGAAGTTTTCTGGGGGGGAGGGGAGGGGGTGGCTGACCGGTATGGGGATCTGAACCATTGACCTTGGTGTTACAATGCCATGCTCTAACCAACTGAGTTAACCAACCAGTCCAGATTCTAATTTTAATAAAGTCCAATTTATCCTTTCATGGACTGTGCTTTTGGTGTTGTATCTAAAAAAACACTGCCACACCCAAGGTCATCTAGATTTTCTCCTGAATTATTGAAAAGTTTCTGCTGTATCACCAAAATGCCATAAAAAAAAAAGGGCACCTGGGGCCGGCCCGGTGGCGCACTGCTATAGTGCACCGCTTGGGAGGCGCGGCAGCGCTCCCGCCGAGGGTTTGGATCCCACATACAGACCGGTTCCCGCTCACTGGCTGAGCGAGGCGTGGGAGCGACGCCAAGGGTTGCGATCCCGTTTCCGGTCCCGGTCCGGTCCAGGGGCGACACTGAGGGTTGCAATCCGTTGCCGGACACGGAAAAAGACAAAAAGGAAAAAAAAAAAAAGGGCACCAATTTACACTCAAACCATCAGTGTATGAGTATGTCCATTTCCTTGTCACCTAAGATAGCTTCTCTCTTTTTTTCAAGTTCTGTGACACTTGCCCCAATTTTTCATTTAAAAAATCCATTCTAAGAAATCATCTCTGAGAAAGTAATTAATTTCAAGTTAAGATCATAAGATTTTTCTGAGCCTCCACACCTCCATCAGAAGGTATTAAGAGGGAAGGCCATAACATTAAGTACTCTTGTTAAGTACGACCACCACCACCAACTCACAATACTCACAACCTTCTCTCTACTTTGGGATAAATCTAGACTCTTCACCTTCATTCCTCCCTATTATTCCCCCAGTCTCTTCACTCTAATGCCCACGTGGCTCTGCAGGTTCTCACTTTCATTACATTTTCTTGCAGTGCTCTCTAGTGGTGGCTTTTTTCTCTCTCTCAACTCTGGGCCTGGAGATGGAGTAAGTGCTCTTTTGGCCCCTCATTGCTCCTTGAGATCTCTATGTCCCTCTTCCTCTGTAATTTCTGGGCCTTCAAAGGCATACCTACCATACCTTGTTCCAAACATCTACCAAACCCCAGGTCACTCACCATTACTCCTTCAAGATAATAGCTCCTCGCACACTGTTATCTCTACCATTTCTCCTGTCATAATTTGTGGCAATTTCAATAGCTACCTACATGGATGCTTGCTACAGTTCCTTGACTTCTGATGCTCTTGTCATTTAGCCCACCTTAGCCACACACATCAATGGTTATACCCTATACCTTATCAGTACCAATAACTCCCAACTCTTTAATCTGCTGCACTCTACCTCCTACCTTTTTCACCCCTAGCACCCCAACACGAGCAATCCTATGACTCCACTGGGACCTAAATCTTATTGACCATTTCAAGGACATCATTCCTTCCACATAATCAGTTCCTTGACCCTTTCTCACTTCACACCAATCACTTGGCTAAATGTGGTGAAAACTCCACCTACATAGCTAAGTATGGCAGGAGAAAAACATGTCCATGCCAACTGGCATCACTTAAAAATTCATATCCAGGGCCGGCCCGGTGGCGCACTGCGCTAGTGCGCCGCTTGGGAAGTGTGGCGGCGCTCCCGCCGAGGGTTCGGATCCCACATACAGACCGGTTCCTGCTCACTGGCTGAGCGAGGAGCGGGGGCAACGCCGAGGGTTGCAATCCCGTTGCCGGTCCCGGTCCGGTACGGGGGCGACACTAAGGGTTGCGATCTGTTGCCAGACACGGAAAAAGACAAAAAAAAAAAAATTCATATCCACTAAACTCATATGGCCCTTAGTGATACCAGCAATCATACTAGACTTCCCTATTACATTCACCCTCCTACTTTCCTTTTTCTCTTCCAGCATACCACATTATATTTAGTCGTCTTGTCTCCTTAGACTCCTCTCAGCTGTGACAATTTCTCCTTATTTGATAAACTTGACAGTTTTGAGGAGTACTAGTCAGGTGTTATACTGTAGGATGCCCCTCTACAGGAATTTGTGTGATGTTTTTTTCTTGATTAGACTGAAGTTATGGGTTCTGGGAATGAATATCACAGAGTTAAGAATGCCATTTTCATTGCATAATACCAAAAGTACATACTATCAACATGATTTAGGACTGTCTGTGCTGACTTCGCTGAGGTAATGCTGGTCAGGTTTCTCCACTGAAAAGTCTCCCCTTCACCCTTTACATACTGTGCTCTTTTTTTTTTTTTTTGTCTTTTTGTCTTTTTTCGTGACCAGCAACGGATCGCAACCCTC